TCGATATTGCAGCCACCACATCATGATGCCCTGCCAAGGTGGGCATAGTAGGAACACACTTGTACCAAATATGATCCTGTTAGAATGTATGAATAAATTGGGCCGGAAATCACTACTTACATTTGCATTTTATGGACTAGGGACTAAGGCGTATCGATTTTTTGAATTTACGCTCGTTTAATCATGTTATCCTTCCAAGGTGGCTTGATTTTAGCCCCCTCCCTTGGCTCTCAATTCCATTCTCATCGCCGCTTGCCCTCCCAAGAGATTTCTGCTTTCTGACTTCATACGATCGTTGTATTTGCTCAGACGGAAAGAGCTCTTTTGATACCAACACCCCAGGTCGACCCGATACATTCGTTTTGGAATTACATAGGACAGATCCCCCAGATGGATTCTAAGGGCTATGTCTACTCTGTGGTATGCGATGTTAACGTTGCTTTGCGATCCGAAGTCAGAATCAATGAGACTTCAACTGAGAAATTTCTGGGTACATGCGCTATATTTGAGGGAGACCTTGCTGCAGTATTAGTGCGCCCCCATACTTGATACTTCTACCAGAGCACGACCCCACGGGTAAGGACTAGATCAGGGCCGGAGAGCCAGTAGTTCGGAGCGGCAAGTCCATTGGACATAAAGGTAGGATTGCTTGAGAAAAAAAAGAATAATACTAGGCCAACATCCCATATCCCCCGGGTGGGCGATTCGATGAGTTTCTGGTATTCAAGAAAAGCTTAAAAAGGATCCCTCGGACCGGGCTCGAACCAGTGGCCTTGAGATGAGATTACGTAAGCATTTGTAAGCATTACATAAGATCCAATTACAGTCTCACGCTCTTCCAACTGAGCTACCAAGGGATAATTTAGGACCTAAATGGTCCTAGATTAGGCGAGGTTGATATTTCTACAACAATGGGTCGGCAGACGCGGGTGCAGAATACTATGCACGGCAAAAACAAGAGGCAAGGCAATAATAAAATAGCAAGAAAACCAATTAAAGATACAACGACGAGCAGAAAATAACCGAGTTTTGGCGTTCGAGCATTTCGCTCGCTTTTGTAAACTTGGCCTCCAATTCGGTGTTCCCGATTGCGTGTGCAGCTTGGGTCATTTGGCGAATAAGCTCCTGCAAGCGCCTGAATACACGGATGAGGGATCCCTCGAATTGGTCCGTCATCTGGGCGCCGTCGAGTCAGCCGAGGCACGCTTCAAAAGAAAACATGCACACCTTGCAAATATCGACAAACTTGGCCCCCCTACACCACTGCAATACTGCATCCATCAATTCGACTTTGAAGCTCTGGATATACTCTTCCTCTTCGATAGGCATTTTGCTTTCCTTTGCCACCTTGGCAATTCTTCTCGCTGTTTCCTGCAATGTCCTCAACGGACCCGCGAGCTCTTCTTTAAGCTTCGTCGCTTGCTCGCTCTACCAACTATATTAACATCGGTCGTCGAGGAAAGAATGAGCACACCTTTTCAGTAAACACAAAGCAACTCAACAACGCGGCGCACTGCTCCGGCAAGAGGCTGTTGAACACTCCGTTAAAGATCAGCTCGGTCAAAAGCAACTCGTCCCCAGTGCTAATTTCACAAGCCACTCTGCCCTTGACATCGACTACATCATCCGTATTCGCAAACCCTAACCGGCGCAACACTCGCTTTCGGCACTTGAGCTCGTCCATTTGCATCACATCCTGGGCGGCTCCGAGCGTCTTTTTAAGTACCCGGATTTGGGCGGTGAGCTCTTGTTTCTGTGCGTACGCGTCGTATAGCGTAGGGAGCCGAGGGTCAGACTGCAACGAGTGCCCCTCGAGTTGTTTCTCCAGCGTTGCGATTTTCTGTACTCGGTTGAATGACAATCTAAGAATAATTGGGAGCAGCTCACCTCGACCAACTCTTTAAACTTGATATCCTTGATGTTCATATCGTTGATCGGGTCAAGCAAGGCAATCCCCTTTGGGAACCGCCTTTTAACCTCGGCAATAACCTTCCACATCGTCTCCCGCGAACCCAAAGTTCGTAATTCCTTGGGCATGTGGACACGGATACAACTGACACTCGCGATCGTCGATAAGAGCACAGGGCATACGAGGGGTTCGCCTTCTTGTCCAGTGGGACATGGTTTGAACGCTCCAGATGAGGCGGTCTCGGGATTCGATTTGGTGCTGGTTGTAGACCCTTTGGCGCAATTGAGGAGCACATCTACGACATACTTTTCTTGAGGCGGCAGAGCTTCAAAAGCAGCAATCGCAGACTTGTTGTTCTAGATGCAATGGTTAGTAAAGTACAATCGAAATATGACTGTACGCACCTTGGGGGCGGCCCTCTGCGTGAAATTTACGACAACGCCCCATCCAAAGTCTTGATCACCGTGCTTAACGCTGACCAGTCGCCCGGGCTGTAAGAACGGCAAAGCATACGTTGGGTGCGTGATTACCGTCCGCAAGTCTTTCCCAAGTTCGTCCAGCTGGTTTCGAATCTCATAGTACTCGCTGATGGACTCTTCTTCCGGGACAATCAAGCCTGCCTTCTTTTCCTCCAACTCGGTCAATTCTAAGCAGATATCAGCCGCAACGCCAACTCGGATAATGGTCAACTCACGAGCTTCCAGAGCGGGGACCTTGGTACCATTCTGATATTGGTAGAAACATCTCTCGAGCATATATTCAGGGCTCACACCCTCCACGCGCATCAAGTTCAAGACCATGTTGTATCCCAGATGAAAAGCCGAATCCAGTCGGTCCGCCTCGCCTTTAACCATTCCCTTGGCCGTCGCAGGTTCCAGCTTGGCATTAACCATCATGATCACTACCCCACGGTCGTCCAACCCTCGTCGTCC